TTAAGTACATGTAATAATGCAAGCGTTAGTTTTTCATTACTTAATATTAGTTTTATTATTTTAGAGTCCATATCGTAAATATCCTTTGACTTTTTACTTTTCAGCTCTCTCATAATTTTCTTCAAATCTTGCAGCGTAACTATTTCTAGATGAAGCTCGTGCTTAATATTTGTAGCATTATTGAGATATTGAATGTATTCTTTTTTGTCTATTTTAATATTACCACTTATACTTTTAGCAATGTTACAGAAAAAGTTATTAAATATGTTTGAAATCATTTTTGGATTAGTTATAGGTATACCATTCTTGTCATTTATTTTTTCTATTCTAACTTTATTATGTTTAGATCTATTAGTTAATTTAGATATTGTATTCCATGTTGCCGCTACTTTATTCTGAGATTTCATAATTTTGTCCGAGATTTGCACTCTTTTCGCCGTTAATAAAACTTTTTTAAAACATTTCTTAAATTTCTTTAATTTTAATTTACGTCTTTCAGTAGGATATATAGATTGTAATAGTTCCAGTTTATTCAACGTGTCTCTAGATTTCATTATGCCTTTAGTTTCCCAGTAGTTTTTCTTATTTATAATATATTTTTTCTTCTTTGGGAATGCAATGTCATAAAAATATTTTAAACCTAATAAAAAAGTTTCAGCTTTTACGTTAGCATCGTCACAATTATAGATATCATAATAATATGTTTGGTCTTTATTAAGTAAATAGTGAAAGTAATTGCAGTTATTATTTGTGAATTGACGTGCAATGTAATTTTTTTTTACATCCTTTTTATAATTATACTGTATTTTAACGTTATAAACTAATTCGATAATATTATGGTCGGAGATCTTATAGTCAAGTACTTTACTATGTATAATATTGTCACAAAAATTTGTAATAAAATTGTCAATGCAGGTTGAACTGCCTTTGGCTATACGTGTGGGACTATCAATTAAAATATTCTTCATGTCAAAGTTTTTTAAAATTAATTTAAAATCTGTTAAGTATTTACTTTTGTTGAGGAAATTTATATTAAAGTCACCAGTTAAAATTATTTGCTTATTTTCTTTATTAACTTTAAATAGAATTTTTGAAAGTGTATCATAAAATATATTAATATCATAATTAGCGCGATATATACAGATTATTACAGTTTTTTGTGATTTTAATTCAATTGCCGCAGCTTCACAGTGTAATTCCTGTGACAAACAGGTAATATCACCGCGAGTGTTTGCGTGTGTTTTACTGGAGTGTCGATACACACACTAATATGTTTCTTTTGTGTTTTATTAAGTCTATGCAATTTATTTTGTAGTGATTTGATTTTTTTCATCTGGTTTTTTATCTTTTTAAATAATTTGCGGTTTTTATAAATCCTTGACCCTTTTACGTTTATTAATGATTGTGTTTTTAACTCTGTTGTCATTCTTAAATTATTATATTCATCCATAACTTTGTTTAATTTTAATTGTAGAAGTCTATTTTCAGTATTTATATCATTTAGTTGTTTTTTTAATGGTGTAATCAATGTATTATTTATTGAAACTACTTCTTCGCATTCAATGTTAGATTTTCTATTTGCTTCTTCTATGGTAACAATATCATTTTGTAAGTCAAAAATTTCTGACTCTTTAATTGTAATACATTTCTTTAAGTTTTGATTTTCTTTACATAATCTCTCGAATTCTATACTATTTTGTTCGTGTTCTTCTTCCATAATTTTTATTAATCGCATTTTTTCTTTAAGTTTTATATCTAAGTTGCATATTAATTGTTCGTATGTCTTTAGACTTTCGTCTTTAGTTTGAATTTGTTTATTTAAATTAGTTATGATTTCATCTTTTGCTTGTATTGACTGTTGCAATCGAGTTTCGACACCTAGTCTCGGATGTTTATTCATTTTGAATAAATGTTGTCTAACCACATACGCAGTTTCGATGATTATACTATTAGATTTAATTCGTTCTTATAACTTCACAAAAATTAATTTCGCCGTTCAGATTTGAAGGCACAACCTCTTGGATGAGAAGCAGACGCCTATCAAACTAGGCCAATGCTTGTGATAACCTCGAGTGCGAAATTATGTTTCAACATCTAGTCAAATATGTTGTCGTTAGACCGTTTCTTTTGAATGTTTGAAATATCACAAATGTTTGAATGTCACTGGGTTTGGTATACCCTGCACTTTTATAATAAAAATAGAAAATACACAAATTACTAATTTAACACTTTTACTTCACAAATTATATGTTTTTGTAGTATTGGAACTGTTTAATAGCACTTATTTGTAAATTATTTAATTTAATATGTCACTTTAGTTATGTATTCATAGTCGCTAGTTAGTTCGATTATTATCACTTTTTTATTCACTGTTCATAAATAGTTTGATGTACAAATAATAACACAAGTCTTTTAGAACTTAAATAATTAAATAAATTAATAGTTTCTGTAGAAATCGTTCGTTTTATATTTTTAAAGATTAATTTAACTGGGGATAGATAATGGATAGATAATGCCGCAAGGTGTTAAGTCCGCCATATGCACTTTAAAATTATGTGCATTAAAGTTCAAATTAACAAATAAATAAAATACGTTATTGTCATTACACATATGACGGTAGAACTAGAAGATATAGATATACATATATACACAAGAATGATATATGTTCCAGAGGGCATCGGCCCACGTCATACAGTCGCGGAATGCCTTACAATTATCTCGGGACGAGATCGCATTTCTTCGGCGCCACTAAGCACGTTTACTTATTTTTCGTCATGACGCAATGTCGTAATAAGACGACCAGTTTGTCATATCAAATTGTAAGTTTTGCTTGCCGCGTTAATGATAAAATACTTTTTAGAGATATAAAATTTAAACTAAAATGTCCAGTTGTACCGACATACGAAAACGAAAACTATAAATTTTGTTCTAATTATGAAAATGGAACGATGCATGCGTTATCAGTTTACGCTGGCGGGTCAATTAGTCCATACTGACAAATTTAACAGGAACTTATAACTATGGTTTCCAAGGGGAACCCTGTGGAGGGCAACCTGACATCGTACATTGCTAGCAATGGGTTCATTTGTCTACATCCTATTCCCCTTATGAACATATATAAAATCGGGAAAAAATAAGTGCCATTTTAAACATTAGTTTTATAAAAGATGTTTACTTTATATATAAATCAACTTAAATGATAAACAAAGTATAAAAGTAGAGTAGGAGATGCAAAATTGTGAAATAGTTACTACCAATATTTTTCAATATGCTACCAAAATTAATAAAATGGCAGATGGTGATTAGGTATATCAACATCTTATTTATTGTAGTTGTTAGATAATCATCAACAATTGGGACTACAAATGTACAGGCGAACTAAGACACTGGCACAACTAGTATTATTTGTCTAATAAGAAAATTATTAATTACATATGTGCATATATGTATGTATTTATTGAAGTCAGATTTTTAATATGCTTTTATTTTATGTCACGGGAAGTTCTCACATTCTTTCAGCTTTTGTTTGATGAAACATCCTCAACATACTTATATTAAATATTTTATGTAAGGAAATATATATTATTGTGTTCATATTACTCATAAACAAAGAAATTTAAATAAAAATAAAATTTCTTTACATGAACATGTATTAAAATTAATTTGTATTTTAATATTTTACTATTACCTTGAATATTTCATTTATAATAATAAAATTTTAGGCCTTACATACATATATTGCATTTTATAGATACCTCATTATTAATTTATATATGCAGGCAAGCAGAATTGGCAAGAAAGTCAGTAACAATATTCTAAGACCAAAATAAAGTTATATTAAATTTACTCAGGTGTACCATATGGGTATTATACCACTTAAATATTGTAACACTTCATCATAGACTGCATTACAATAAACATTATGACATGAGCCCCATTTGCCATTTCTTATGGGTAAGATGATATTCCTCCATACTCAGTAATTTCATTACCATACCTCTGTATACATTCAATACCTATTATTACATATATACAATATTATGCAATACAATAATTAAAGGATAAGAATTATTCATGTTATTTGACTAAATTAAAATTTTTAATTAATACTGTATCTAAAAGAAACAAAAATATACCATGTTCACGTAGTGGCACTGAAGAACTAAGGTCACTTAGCATTGTTCCTATTATTAATATCTATACACAATGACTTTGGTTTAACTACTAATACTTAACGAATAAATTATTCACCGTCCGCAATAGCCACGTAATAAAACACATACACCAACTCTTTTCTTTCTACATACCGCAATGTGAATATATCAACTTCTTGCGTCTAACTAGTGTAAACAAAACACGACAAATCAATTTTCTATAGTCGTAAACAACGAGTATTAAAATTTGCTTTATTAATGTACTTAATATCAAAACATCCGCACGAATATAAACATATGCGATTGTATAAACAATTAATTATTGACGAAACTATTCTCCTTTAAATATAAATATTTTTTATGAATTTGAAAGAAGCATATTGTAAATGATTACTAATATTCTTTTTATTGTAAATAAATTAAAAATACAAACCTTAATCAGCCATTCACTAGACGATACAATACTGTAGCAACATCTTCCCAAATATATTTTTCAAGACACTAAAATACAAGTCATAATCTATAGTGGTGAAACATTATTTCTATTAGTTTTATTTAATACATCAATATTATATTAAATAATAATTATTGATAAGTTCGCACCTTAGGATCAATATATACAAAAACAATTACAGTTAGAAAATCATTTTGTATAGACTTCAACTTAACTAAAGAAATATTTGTACTGAATGACAGCAAAGTGAACTGTCAATTCGGTGAATGATATCGAAATATTTAAGTGATAGTCGGAGTCAGAAAGAAATTAAATATTTGGCTGTATGGTCGCATTTCCTTTTACCTGTCCTTAAAAGAACAAAAAATAAACGAATGTATGAAAAGAGCGTTAATGAAAAAACATGTCATTGTCAAACTTGACTTGTCGAGCCTGAAATTGTTTTTTCATTGCGCAATATAATAATCACCTTATACAATCAAAATAAACAATTTTAAAATATAAAATCATCAAGTTCATTCTATATTTCCACAATGGCAACCAATACATTAATGGACAAATTAAGAACATTCTTTGGATTCCGGCAGGAGCCACCGAGGAATGACTTTAGGAATCCGATATGGGGAACGGACGACTACGACGATGGAGACGAGCTCTATACGAAACACCAGATGACACCCTACGACCCAAACGACGTGCACAGAGAATTTTCTAGACAAATCAATGAGATGTTTAGATCTTTCGGCAGCATTTTCGATGATATGAGATCGATGTTTCAAGACGACCACTTGGATAACTTTGCCGGATTTGCTGATATGCCATCCGAACCTGACAATTATAACAGCAAAAGCATAAGAGACTACTATTTGAAGCCTGGTTACCATAGTGATAAGCATGAAGAACCCAAAGATATCGATTTGGACGGTAAGATTTCATCCAATGAAATTTCTGGTTTATTAAAACAGAAAGGTGATAAGCATGATCAGAATTCTTTGGTGCCATTCAGCGGAGACATGATTCCCGGTAGATCATTTTGTAAAACTGTCATTACAACAAGTGTTACCAAACCTGATGGCACAATGGAAACTAGGCGAATCATAAAAAATGGTAATGAGATTGTTGAAGAAACTGTTACCTCCACAGGTCCATCTGACTCAAGAGGTCCATACAATACTAGTTCCGATTCTTTAGCGCCAACTGGTTTTATTTATAGCCATGTTTTGTCTGAATTATCATCATTGTTTAAAAATTTCTACTAAAATATTACTGTACTTAATTCACTACACTCAATATAACAATTTTTAATAAATATATTACTTTTAGCTTATAAGTTTCAAAATAGATGTCTTAAATAAAATTTCTTGTGCAGCTACATGATAAATATTCAATTTATATAAATGTGATTACATCTGAATAGAAAATAGTCTCATATACTTTTTTAGGGCTAGTAAAATGGTCTAATTTTTATTGTATACATTTATATTAAACATTAGTACTTATGTCTGTATTATTAATTTATGTACTACATTGACAGAAGTAGATGTTAACAATTTAATAAACTTAATGTGATACACTCTACTGTTTTCATCCATCATTTTCATATTCGGACATTCCTGATATAAATATAAAGCAATACTTAATAAATGAATAGTTTCAATTCCAGCATTATGACATCTTTCTTACAGTGGGAAGGGGATTGTTAGAAATATGAACTAGCAATCCCATTACTAGCAATGTGGTGTGGTTATAGATGGTATGGATGTTATGAATAGCAATGGTTGGGCCCCCATGTAGTTCCCCTGGAAAATGTTGTGATAAATTCCAGGATAGTTTAGATGGATGCCACCTGACTTTATGCTCATCTTATTACTTCCACTGGTGCCCCACCAGCGTAAACAGTAAGCACCCGCCTTTGCTTAAGTTTAAACACCATTCCATTATCATCGAATAAATATATATCGTCCAAGACTTTTTAAATCTTCCAAGACCTTTAGAAGAATGTATCTTTGAAACTTACTGATATCAGCATATGGAGTATATAAAACAGTATTTTTTTATGTACACTTTCTTAGTTTCTGATTCTAAAACTGTGACCCACCTCATGTACTCCATCATTACTCAAGTATAAACATTATATCTATATTCATGGATGATCACATAGTGCTATCTAGTTCCAGGCTAAGCAGAGTTTGTGTGGTGGGTACTAAGACAACCAATACATATGCTTAGATGCATTTTTTAGTAAATACATATACATAGAAAACACCCAGATCAATATAAACAATCATATCAATGTTCGAAACATGGGAGCAACCAAACCCGCGACCGTCATTTATATAAAGGAGTGTGCTAAACTGCTAGACCACAGAGGCAGTCAAACTTCCTAACTAGATTTATAGATTTTGGTTTAATTATTTGTCATAGGTAGTTTTTAGTTCTGGAAGATTACTATTCTTCTAATGATCATATATTTCTGAACTTTGTCTCACTTTGTTTTTGTTTGAAGTTATGAAGGTACTAATGGGGTGGAAGGGGCAGTAACCCGCTGCACCCCTAGAATATTTTGACCATTATTTGTTAGAAAGAATAAACAATTTCACTGTAACAATCGTTATATTTTTTACACTTAAACAGTTGTAGAGAGCGCTATAGTTAAATAAATAATGAACATAAATAATATTAAATTACTGGCAATAACAAGCATCCCGAGTGTTGCTTCTAATCCAAGTTAGGTACCGATTGACCCGTGTATACACTCCGGGTGTCTCTGGTCTGGCGCAACCTTCGCCCCAGGACACAATACCTGGAAATAGATTTTTTATGTATGAATATGGAACGTAAGCGTGATCACCAGCATCCGCTTACTTTAACAGTATATGAGGAAGTATACTAGTGGAGGACGAATAAATAAATAAAATAACTCTGGACAATAACCCAGCGCCATCTAGTCTCACAGTAAGCAGAGCTTGTGTTATGGGTACTAGACAACTGATATAAATACCTCGATAATTTTTGTTTATAAATTCATAATACACATAGAAAACACCCAAATATATGCAAACAATTATGTACCACGCGAGGAATCGAACTCGCGACCAATAATTAAATTAAAAAAAGCGGCGTGTTAAACCGTTAGACCACCGAGGTCGTCAAAAAGCAAAATGAAGTCAGACATGAATTCATCTGGAATTTACAATGATGGTTTTCAGAGGGGATCGAGACTAACCTTTTATATTCATCATTCATGTACATATAGTGTATAAACATATCGAGGCAGACTTTGCAAGAAATGGTTATTAGATAAGAAATATTTTCCTAATAACCATTTCTTAAAAGCTATGAAATGTGACCTGGAAAATTAATCCACAATGCGGTTACGCGTGGCAATAATTGGATCGCGTGATTCTGTAACAACGTACGGTGGAGAACCGCCACTGTAGTTTCTGGGGGGTAGTTCGATGCTGAAATTCAACAGCTGGTATTAATCCGAACAATTCATCAGAACACTCCATGATAACTGCGGTAGGCATTTGGCCTTTTCAAAAGGGCCTTCTTCGAAGATTGATCACAAGACAATGCGAATCACAATTAAAAATAACAACTAACCAACTTCTTGATACTGTTCAGTGGTACTGTTAAGGATATGGAGAGGGCCTCCAGAGTCTCCTTGGCAGGCGTCTCGGCCTCCCTGCGGCTCGCCTGCGCACAGCATGTTGTCAGAGATACGATTCCCGTAAGTGGTTTGTCTGCAAGCTTCATTTGATATTATTGGTACCGAGACCTAAAAAAAGGAAAGAACAGAAATAAATAAAAATCATATTATAAACGCGAAAGCATGGATGGATATTTCTTACTCTTTCACGTAAAACGTTTGCAATAACATAGCTTAAACATCAGAATAAAACATAGGCTATAATTTAAATAAATATTAAGTAAACGTGATGAAGGTGTAGTCGCGCGGGTCAGCTAGTATAATCTATTTTTATTTCAGGCAACCCGATATTATAACAATATTGGCCAATATTATATATACGGTAGAATACCTACCTACTGTATGTACTAACAAAATGATATAGAAAATAATAAACATAGACAAAGTCAAACTTGAATACAATAGAATATATTTTAGAGACTCGTGTTGTGTCGCACATAAATAACAAAAAAAAATCTTAAGATATTTTATTTTTATTTCACATTAAATTAAATAAAATATAATTTTGATAATAATTACTTCAATATGTCCATTTTATGCATTTTAAAAATCTTTAATTGTATACTAGATTTAGTTATTTTCTACTGCCTACAAATTCTACATACCTCTTGTAAAGTGCTGGACACTGACCCACCCTCGGATGTTGTTCCCCAACCGGTGACCACACCACTGTAGTTGGAGTACGAGAGGCTGGGACTAGCGAGGCAGACGGGACGAGGCCCTCCATCTTCATTTTTATCCTCATTAGAGCCACTCTCTGTAGATCCACTTTCAGTAGAGCCATCTGCTCGAACTCGTTTTAGAGCGTTACTGAGGTCAATCTATAAAATAAAAATAATAATAATACCCGTGGTACATACAATAATACACACAGCGCCGGGGGGAAAGGGGGTTGATAATAATATGTAATATTATGTTATCTGTGACAGTAATATGGATTGATAATATTATTTGCTAGCTAAGTACCATGTCAGGTTGACCTCCACGCAGTTCCCCCTGGAAACATCGTGACAAATTCAACAAGAATTTGTCACGATGTTTCGCAAAATTATTATTTTAGAAAGATAATGTACCTACATAGAGTGGCGTAAATAAAGTGGCCTACACTCATAAAAAATGTAAATACGACACTGCACCAAAACAAATACAAACAATCAAACTCATGAATATAAAGTTTGTACCGTGTGAGGAATCGAACCCGCGGTGTAATAAACCGCTAGACTACCGAGGCCGTCGAAAAATATATAGGTATATACCTAAGCAGTTAGCGCAATTATTAGCGCACGTTGTTTAGTATGAATAGTGAATCAAACTGTGGGATGAATTGTGGAGACTGACGAATTCTTAACTATTTATTCTGGAAATTAAATTTGAAAAAAGGGCGCGATACGCGTAATCTAATGTGACGGATATTAGATTACGCAAATCGCGCCCTTTTTTATTCCTTAATTTACGCTATCAGTGATGTTTGCTGGAGGAATGTTACTGTATAATAATATCAATGTTCTATGCGTGACGTCCCAATGAATTTTATAATTTTATTTATTTATTATATGGCTATTTGTGATCGCAAACAAATGATGAAAAATTAACTTAGTTTTCTTTTTTTTGTTTGTTTAATCTGGATTACATTTAGCTGGCTGCGGCTTCAGGGACAAGTATTGAAGGATATTCTTAGAGGCGATGGTTTTCTCCTCCTCACGATAGAGTACGTAGGTACTTTCCAAAGGGGATATTTTGGTTGTGCAGGAGTGGGCTATAATCACAGAAGATGTGTAGTGACGTTTGCTCCGCCATTTGACCTTTGCAAACCTTTATTAACTACAGACCTAAGTTAGCCAAGTGAATCCTCCGGTGACTCTGGTGACTAAGACCAGCTGCAACCAACAACATTAGAGTAGTCCGAAAAAAAAGCCATGTGTTTATTGAATTTACAGTGCCCAGTGCAAAATCTAAACAGAACAAAAAGTTACTTACTCTTTCATCAAGTTTCAGCAATGCAATATCGTTGTCGTAAGTACCAGGATTGTATCGCCTATGTCTGATAACTTCAGCCACTTTCCTATCAATAGTTTTGGTTTCATTGGCGCTGGTACGGTCGTGTTCTAAGAAACGTACTGACATCCTCTCCTTACGGAAACTAGAAAATAAAAACCGGATTAGATATTATAATAGTTTCACCAGAGTTTAATTGGAAAAATTACAAAAACATCGATAAGTGGATTTGTAAATACTGTCGTCCATGGTAAATCATAATCATCACTTATGTACATGAATTACGCTACGAACATTACGGTATCAGGTGTATATATGATGCGCCTAATATCACTCATGCGATGCCCTTCTGAAGCAGAAAGATGCCATGCCTCTTATCTTGTAATTTCACTACATTTTCTCATCCTACAACCCAATCTTTAAAATGATATATAAGTCAATTAGAATTCTTAAAATATATTAATTATTTATTAAGTTATTTTTGCTTTAAGATTCGGTTGTAGGGTGAGAAAATGCAGTACATATTATGCATATTATCATCTAACATATTAGCTGTAATTAATATAATAAAAAGGAACAGCCGCTACAATATTTGCACCCCCGTGAAATGAAATAATATTTCTTCAGTAGAAGAAAAAACTAAAACACACATTAAACAAATAAAAAGAAGAATTACAAACAGTGCGACAATTAAAAAAAAAACAGTACACAAATTACGTGTGTACGCGTGTGCCTGCATGTGTATGTCTGTCGAAGCACCTATTGAATAGGTCCGTGCTCAGCATAATGCTGCAGCGGCTGGAGCGCTGCAACGCTGTTTTTTAGCACAAGACCTGGGGTGGTGTATAGCCGTATTGTACACGATTTATGATATGGTATAATATTATAATATAATTTATTATTAGAAATTGAAACAGATTGCTGGTAAAGTAACATGGTTAAACACGTTGTTTAAACAAGACAGATAACTGTACGGCTAACAGTAATTGCACATATGCTAGACTAGGACGGGTCGCCAGTATATGAATTACATGCTGTGCCCGCGGTTTCACCCTCGAGAAATTCAGCTAGCTGACCCGCACAACTTCGTCTGCATCACACTTACTTAACATTTATCATTATATTTCGCCCACCTTACATAATATCTTTCTAAATTATAGTCTTTGTGTTATTCTGATATATAAGCTATATTGTAAAGTTTCATTAAAATCCATTCAGTAGTTTTTGTGTGAAAAAGTAACAAATATCCATCCATTGATACTCACAAACTTTCGCATTTATAATATTAGATTATCTTGCCTGTGATATTAGTAAGATGTGTTATTCTGATGTATAAACTATACTATATTGTAACGTTTCAACAAAATCCGTTCAATAGTTTTTCTGTGAAATAGTTGGAAACATCCATCCATCCATACTCACAACCTTCCGTGTTTATAATATTAGTAACATAGTAAGAAGATATTTTTTTGGGGTACAAACAAGAAAAACAATGAAGATAGTACAAGAAACTTACCCCACTGTACAATGTCCTGCCGTCAGTACATACAAGTCATTGAGCAAGGAACCACCGCAGTAGAATCTACCATTGTACAGCAACACTGCCATCCAAGGAAACTCCAGTTGTTTCGTCTCCGAGCCTCCAACTATGCGCCGACGTGTCCGGGGTATACCACATTCTGTAACAGTAAAATGTGGAAATATTTAATAATAATAATAACAACAGGACAATTCACACACCTCCATCTAGTCCCAACCTAAGCAGAGCTCGTGTCATGTGTACTAAACAACTGATAGAAATACTTAAGTACTTTATTTTTGTAAATACATACATAATGTACATTGAATACTATTCTATTGTAAACATGTACAATTTGAAAAGAATACGAGCTGAGTTTCTTGTAAGTTCTTTTCATCTCGAAATCATTCCGAACTGACGGTAGATTCGACATATTATAAGAGTCTGTGATAGACCTACATGAATAAAGACATTTTGAATTTGAAATACCAAAAGACAATCATAGTTATTTATACAAATGTTTGTGCCATGCCAGGCATCCAACTCGCGACCATCAGAAGATAAGCGGTGTGCTAAACCACTAAACCACTGAGACCGTCCACGTACAAGCTTTGAGCAAAATCTACCACAATAAACAGAATAGGTATACATATATATGTGTAGTAGAATACTAACGACATGCAGGACAATTTTCAGGTGGATCCTGTGGTTTCGAGGTAGTAGTCTGCGGTCCACCTAGTAGATTGGTAATCCATTCAATCAGACCCTTCTCTGTGGACTTCTCAGGGCTTGTGGCGGTTGGGTTCTGTGACCACGCTGTACTTAAGAGACATACTACTAAAAGTATCGATCTCATTCTGGCTCCTGAAATTACGTAAAGTATATAGAATTAGAAAGAGATGAATATAGTAAACATAGACTAATTGATGGTGAGTAGAAATTGTCGCTTATATTATTTTTGGACATGAATATATATATATATAAGCCGTAAAATTTGCCATTCCAGTCGTTAGCAATGGGTTCATTAGTCCACATTAGTAACAATCTCTTCCGCCGGACAAATTATGTTAGGTTTGAATATCTATCTTTGTAGTTACTATATATAGTTTTACTAATAAATATTCAATACAATACAATACACTTATATGGGGGTAAGGGGATTGTTAGTAATGTGGACTTATAACTATATTACTGGCAATGTACCATGTCAGGTTGACCTCCACGCGGTTCCCCCTGGAAACTATCGTGATAAATTCCTGGTGAATTTGTCACGATGGGCTAACTGACCTTACCTCATGTTCATCTTATCACCCTCCACTGGTGCCCCGCCAGCGTAAACCGTTAGCGCAGGCGGGTACATCATTCCATTATCATAAAAAAAAATACACTTAAATGACAAGACAATTATAAAAAAAAATTGTCCTGTCTCATACCCTGGCTAATAGGTTTCCATAACGCTGGCAATGACGCGCTTAAGTTTTATCTTTAAAGTTAGTCCTAATCGTCAATTTATATATAGTCAGATATAAAAACTGATTAATAAGTGCAGTAGATATGAATCATTAAATAATTTAATTTAATATTGCGTTGATGATCTCTGCAGAATCAAGGACACGGGGAAACCGGGTCAGAAAACTGGATTCCACTTATCCAGTGTACCGCTACCTCAATCACTCCGATCATCGGATTGTTTGCATATTCATTTAACATGTGTCATGACAGCATTATACCTATACCATCACGGTGGGGGGATAGGAGATTGTTAGTAATGTGGATTGATGATCTTATTGCTAGCAATGAACCATACCAGATTGACCTCCACACGGTTCCCCCTGAAAACCATCGTGACAAATTCATCAAGAATTTATAACTGACCTGACCTCATGCTGATCTTGTCATCCTCCACTGGTGCCCCGCCTGCGTAAACCGTTTTTTTTTGGTGGTTGATAATGGAATGTTGCCATCGCCCGCGCCAACGGTATACACTGGAGGGGCACCAGTCGAGGGTGATAAGATGAGCATGAGGTCAGGTCAGTTAGCCCATAGCGTAGGCGGGTACACCACTCCATTGTCATCCATAATAATATACCATCACGGTAAGTAGTAGGGAATAAAAAACTTAGGAATAAACACAGGATCGTAATAATAACACATAGGCCAAAGGAATGTCGCCACAAAGTATGCGCAAGGTATTAGTTTAAATTAAAAAGTATAAAATATATAGTTTTTTAAAAGGATTTTTAAAATGTACAGTTAGGAAATCGGATGATTGACGTTTGAAAACATTTAGAAAATTTATGTCGACACGTCTTGAATCATTCATGTAAATATGCGTAAATATAGAGAAAGTATTTTCTTTTAATGTTTTCGCATTTTTACTTTTTAAATACCTAACACGTTAGTGATGCGGCGGTTTCATATCATCTCGCATGTCGATGGTCGCGAGTTCGACTCTCGCTCTATAGAAATATTTGTATACATGTGTCTGACTGTTTTGTGTAGATATAGATAGTGTTTTAATAATAAAATAAAGAGAAAAGATTTGATTTTTGTGTTTCTTTGTAATGAATTAACCCAAACAATGCCTAACACATTATTAACTTTTAATATGATTTTAATTATAATTTATACAGTGGGGAATACCATAAAATGTCAATAATGTCAATATTAAGCGAATACCAATATATCAAATTTGATAATTTAAAAAAAATGTATTTGAATAATATCTATGTTAATACGTGAAGCAAAAACTTAAGTACCCCTTTTTACGAAAATCCGCGGACATATTATCTTAACTATGCGCGGACGGAGATGTATGAACTTTTGCACACTTATCGTTTATATAGAGGAGGTCAAAAATTTATATATTTGTTTTAATTATGCATAAAAAATACATTAAATCATTAAAAAAACATTATACACACTACCATATATTTGACTGTATTCAAACTGACAAACTTATAATATTATAGTAAACGCAAAAGTTTGTCCATACAAAGAATGTTTGTTATTCTTTTACGCAAAAACTACTAAACGCATTTCGATGAACCTGTACAGTAATATAGCAGAATAACTTATAGGCTAGATTTATTGAAATGTATACTCGTATATTGAAATTTAATGAGAAATAGCAGGCACAGCTAGTAGATTAATAATGTTTGTTTTGAGTATTATTTGTCTATGGCATTTGTTTATAACAGAATGTTAATAATGTTCAAAATTCTAATTTAAATAAATTACTAATAATTTCGACACAGTTAGTAGAAATTAAGCATGGAACTGGACATTGTATAATTATGTTCTGGATATACGAGTCACACTTTTGGAGCTACTCACGACTTTTTGGAGCTAGTTCTTCAAATGATATTAATACGTATAAAAAAACTTTGCCTTATTCATTGTTTCACGACCTAACATGATTATGGATTGACATAGACATAGAAAAGCAGACAAAATCGCGGTTGACATCTAGTTTCCAGTAAACAGTTACTGTATTTTTTTTAAATATCCATGCGTGTATGTAAATAAAACGTGCTTGACACAATAAAACATTATTGTTATTCGTGGGGCGTACCGCGCGCGTCCCTGCAACTCGTTCTATTAGAGAGCTGTCCGTTTTCCTGTTCCCACAATAAATGGACGTAAGAAAGTAGGTGAAATCGCCTAGTCTGTTATTACATAAAGATTAACTGAACCATTTAAACGTTTACTAGAACTCGTACAAAGAAATTATACAAAACTTATTGACTTTAAATATGTTTGTAATATATCTGATTCTTCCCGCCAAATTTCAAATTAGGAATACATTTCTTGATACGGTGGTTCCACTTCTTTGTTCATATTGAACGCGCATTTTTCAATTCAATGGACATGAAGTGCATCCAAATATTTATACTATATGTAAATATCTGCAGTCTATTGTTTCTTTTATTCAGTCTAGCCTAGATTTGTAATCAATGATAATTATATGTATAAGTACTATAGATAGAACAATTCGTTATTTAATTAACAAAGAGATTTCTCCCGCCAAATTTCAAATTAGGAATACATTTGATACGATTATCCACTTCTCTGCTCAAATTAAACTTGGTTTTCTTTTACAAAATAATAAAATGGCTAATGCCAACAAAAAAGAAAAAACTTGTTTTTTTAGTTTGTTCACTCATAGACAGGAAGTGCATTTAAGTGTATTCATTTCCTGATTTATTTATTCCTATTATTAGGTATATTATTATTGCTAAAGTTTATGAGGTTAGATGTTTGAGATACTTTTCATCTAAATCCATACTGTCATGGGATACAGTAAATTTTCAATAGGAACATAATAAAATTTTCTAATGAATTATTTACTATGAATATTACTTTAGTAAATGAAATAAATAAATAAAACTCACTGACAACACGTTATATTACTAACTATTCGCCCATGTTGAATTTAAAGCCTATGTAGTATATAACTGGAAAGTTACTGAACGAATTTTGATGAAACTTTACAATCATATAGGTTAGCTAGATGTAGTTTTTACGTGAAAGAGTAACAAATATTCATCCATCCATTTAACCAACCATACTCACAAACTTTCGCATTTATAATATAAAATATTAATAAAATACAGGTGATGAAATGCTTAGGCGCATAAAAATCACGTTATATTATTTATAAAGTGGTCCATTGCCATTGACCTAGCAAGTGGTAAACTAGAGCACGCTAAACTATTACCAAGCTTCATCTTCTTACGATCCTTCTATTCCTATAGGATACAAGAAATAAATTGCCCTAATGAACTCATTGCTAGCAAAGTGACAGAATTAGACAGACAGGTTGACGTCCACGCAGTCACTGGAGACCATCGAAATAAATTATTGGTGAATTCGTAACGATGGGCTAACAGACCCGACCTTATGTTCGTCATATCATCCTTCACTGGTGCCTCGCCTGCAACCATTAGCGCGGGCGCGGGGACAATCATCCATAAAGAAAAAATATATATGGCCATAAAAATTTGCAAATAGCAAGTGTGATGTCATCACGCAATAATAAAACAATGGTAGTCTCAAAATTCAAGACCAATCGATCAAAATGTAGATCACATTTCGATCATAGTCAGGGGCGGATCGTGAATTTTTGGGGCCCTGGGCTGAAGCCCAAAAATTCACTTTAGGGCCCTACCTCAAATTCACTTTTCTACTTTAGGGGCCTACCTAATTATATTACTGAATTAAAAAAATACACCGACCAAAAACAAGCGACCAGAAATTCTCCGTTCCTTTCGATAGACGCACTTGCATGGGTTGATTGATCTCAGAGTTGCCAACCTTATGATAGGTTTTTTAACATTCTAGAGATTTCTTTATATTCTAAATATCGTTTCAGTGGGTACTGGGGGCCCTTTGTATCCTCGGGGCCCTGGGCTGCAGCCCAAAAATCCCTTAGATAGATCCGCCCCTGATCATAGTAGGTCTTACTAAATTACGTGCATAATTATAAAAATTAAAAACTCTTTTTTCTATAGTCTATGTCTATATCTAAATACTTAGGTAAGTTCGGTAGGTTATTGTACGTGTTCAATAGCACCTGAATAAATCTATATCTATTCCTTTAATTTATACATTACACAAAAAAGTGATAAAAACATATATACATACATAATTAAAATTAAAGTTAATAATATGCTAATAAAATTAGAAACATAATTTATGACTTCGAAATTTAAATTTAAAAATACTTTAGAAATAAAAACATATCAAACCAGTTTTGAGAATTTATAAGTATTCTGAACGTTTGAAAACTAACCAACAATAAGGGTCGACTGCACGAACTCACGTCAAAAAAAACATTAATCACTAATTAGAGACAACGGAACTCACTGGCAAGGACGATCGCGAATTGAGCACTAGTGGTGACTGGTGTTGGTGGCCGGCTTGCAAATCAGTGCTTACAGACGAGGGTGAAAAGAGACGGAGCTATCTCCACTTTCACTCGCTAATCCACTTGGCCTGGCAGGACCCGACTGAGTGCAGTCTATACGCCCGCACAAAGATTTAAGTAGCATCACCAAGTACTGCAAATTCCATATTTATGATAATGATTTACAGTTGAACCAGATAATTGTATAATTATTGCTATTAGATACAAGTACATACAAACTCATGTGGGATTGATTAGGTTTTGTCATACGATATGATTACCTAGGTACATCATAATATACTTCATTTACTTGTTTGTTACGTAACATTACATTATACCGTGAAAATAAGCATGATCACAATGTGGTAAGGAATAGGTTTTACCAAAAAGTCACCTACAATTGTCGTTAGAAGCAACATTACAGTTTGACCAGATGAAAACCTGACCTGATGACCTGATTGCAGAAGGTACTCCAACCCATATTTTTATTCTATGGTTGAATATTTATTGGAGCTATATATACCCACCTGCGCTATGGACTATATATATAGATATACACTAGCAGGCACCATTCATTCATCAAAGGATATCACGTGGAAGTCAACCTGATGTGCTACATAATTTTGTCGACGTACACTACTGCATGTGCTTTAAATGATCGTGGATTATATTTTGAATTATTATTTTGAATAGGTACTACTAGACTTTTTGTTTATTTGTTTGAAATTTAGAGATTTTATACGTGCTAAAAGTACATGCCAGTCCCATTGAGCCCTAAAACTAATACCTACATAAATAATTTCATCAGAGAACATATTGCCTTTGCAGCACTATCTGAAGGATCTGTTAAAACACTTTGAATGGCACCTACATCGAATATATTTATTTTATAGTCTAACGTTATTTTAGGTCCACTCATGTCTAAACAAAATATCATGTCTAATAAAAATATTCACTCTATCCTGAGGAGATAAAAACCATCGTTCTAAGGAATATGCTTCAATTCATGCTGATGTATCTAATTAGCGAACTTCGAAAAAGGGCGAGTACAATAAATCTATGCGAGTCGAAGTGCTATAGCTTAAAACCTGTACCTGAATTGACAGGTTTATTTCAGATTTTTTTATTGAGTTCCTTCTGTATTATTTTGACCAAATGTACCAAATGCTCTTAGAATACCTACGAGAAAAAAAATTTCAATAGCAATGCAGTCACGTTAAATACTTGCGCAGATTTATATGTCAGGCGTTATTTACCTAACTGCATAAAGAAAGCAGAGTAAGTTCTGATTTTAGTAGTACAAATAGAATGACTAAACTCTTTAAGTGTATTTAACTTACAATTTTCTAAAAAATATGATATGTTTACTTAATAAATGTGTCAGTAGAAGAAAATCGACGCTAGAAATTATAAAAATGAATTTTAACTACAGAGTCAAAATAATTGTTACTAATATTATTACACATTCCTAATTTTGATCTATTAAAATTACATTCATATCTTTTTATTACAACCTTACTGACTTATTTCACCCTTCATTCAAAGGACGCTGCTTGGCGTCTGAAAAGGTAAGACAGGCAGACCAACAACTTTTTTCAAATTCTTCCTCGGTACAAAACTAGTAAATTAGTTATGTAAATTAGAGCGTAAATTTGTGTTGAATGAGTTTTTAAAACAAGATAATCGAATATCTAATGTACAAACCACCTTATTTTAATACCTTACGGTCCTAATGATGGTCTCGGTGGTCTAGCGGTTTGCCACACCGCCTTACGTCTAATGGTCGCGAGTTTGATTAGTCGCACGATACAAACATTTATATTAATACAATAAGATCGGTTCAATAGTTACCGTGCTTACATGTGTATTTTAATCTATATGACACGTGGTACGTGGTGGTGGTACTATGTGTAGTTATTTCATTTTCATCTATTTCCAGGAATTTCAGACAGTTATAGTTATTATTAATATCACATCACATATTTAAAGTTGGTTGATAATATTCTTCATTATAAATTTGTAACTAGCCTTTCTGAATAGCAAACATTGTATTTAGAAAAATAACAAAAAATGGTTTTTGTTGTGGACATGACACTGTGACATATTAGGGTTATTAATATATATATATATATTACCTACCTTCATAATTCCCTATTATTCTTTGACAAATTAAACCTCTACAGATAATACTTGTAGTTACATAATTTAATATCTGTATTCTCTCTACAACAAAGACTTTTATAGTAAAGTATAATTATATATTTAAATTAATTCAGCCTCATCAGGTCATGGAACATTATGAACCGGTTCTAGGCCAAATGAAATGGAAGGTCCCACAAGTAAGCCACTGACATCGATATTAAGAAAGTAAAAAACTTTTATTTTCACCAATACGTGAAATACTTGCAACCCTTATAAGTATACCAGTTACATTCATATTAACACATCCACTTTTTTACCGATGTCAAGAAGTGAGGAGGTCATATGTTCGACATGTGTTTTATGCAGATTTCTCCATATGTTTGGTTCCCTTTTCCGTATTAATTTTCTTAATTAGTTTTATATTATGAAATTATTAATTAACTACAGGGCTACTAGGCACATCTAATACCAACCATTGTAGGTACATAATGTACTTACATATAAATAGATTAAGGACATAATTTATTTATAAAAAAAATTGGAAGAAATCGCGTCGTGGCTTACTATTTTACTATCTGGTCAACCCTAAAATTTATGCTTAATTTATATTTCTGACTAACTCTCCGATGATGGAATAAAATAATAAATAATGTAAGGAACAAGTACCTACATTTGGAGTTACACCACTCAGCACGACGTCGGCAGTTAGCAATGCCTATAACTACCCCCTCTGAGACTTCTGTTATTTTATTTATTTATTTTTTTATTAATATATTTGTACTTCAACGTAACATATATATTTTGTTCATTTAATTAATAATTGTCAACATATTTATTTTGTATTGTGCCGAATTTAACAATATTTGACTAAAATTAAATCAAAACAATGTCCATTGTAATTTACTAACATTACATGGACGGATATCCGAAATAAATGAATAAATAATATAAATAAATATTAAAAAATATAATAATTGTAACAATAATAATATTCCTAAAATCCAAATTGAGCTACAGGCAGTTTTGTCAATCATTAAAAATCATCAATCGAGTATATTTCGTAAATTAGTGATTATTAAGCTTTATGTTGAAGTTACTTTTATAAAGTACACATAAATGGGTGTTTACATCATCGTCACCATTACCGAGAGCACATCATCAATAACATCGTACAACCACGCCCACCATTCCAGCATTACCCCAGCTGTCATTGCCGAGATAACCTGCCGAGGCTGACAATATCGAAATTCTAGTTACATGGTCAAATGTCTCACATACAACCCATTTATCAAGAACTAGCTGATCCGCGCAACTTCGTTCTCGATATAAGAGACCCTTTTTGTTTTTTTTTTTGCACAATATTTCTTTGCAGCTTTACTTCTATTGGTGATAGTGTGATGTTATATAGCCTATATCGATAAATGGCCAGGCAGGAGTTAGCCTTCAGCCGCTCCATAATTCCTTCCGCGGGTTTGAAGTGCAATCTGCACACGTCCCGTATCGTCCGGTGAAGCTGTAAAAACCGGCTGCGACCAATAGCATTACAATATTTAAAAAAAAATATCAGGCGGGCCTTTAGCTAGGCTGTCATTAATGTTTCTTTTAATTCTAAATTTGTGCGCGTTTGGCAGCAATCTAACCTGATGTTAAATGATGCTATGGTCTGAGACACAGTTTCGAATAATGCCCATTCACTCTTGACTTGAAATTCCAATAAAAACCATAAATGGGCTATCCAACAGTAAATATTTTCTTCAATTCGCAACATTAGTTCGTGAGCATTCAACCAAACAAACAAACAAACTCTTCAGCTTTATATTAGTGTAGATTGTACGTCACAGTTACATTTTGTTACAATATATTCAGAGAAAATCATAAATGAGATTACATGTTATTACTATTAGTGCAACTGAAACTCGAACGCATTTTTCAACCTCCTTCAAAAGGAGAGATTTTTTATAAGTCCTTTATGTGTTACCTTTTCAACAATCAAAAGATCCTTTAGAGCAGTGTTTCCCAATCTTTTTAATGCCATGCCCCACCTTAGCCGTTCTAAATTTCTTATGCATTTTATTGCATGGAAATTGTTAATGAAATAGTGAGTAAATTTTAAAAACATACTGAACAACATTAGTAAACATTGCTTTAGAGGTTCTTCTTAAGAGGCCTTCACGGTCTCGGTGGTCTACTGGTTTAACACACTGCTTTACTCCCGATGGTCGCGGATTCAATTCCTCGTACAGTACGAACTATATATATTTATAAAAAAATATCTAAGTATTTATATAAGTTATCTAGTACCCATAACACAAGAACTGCTTAGCTTGGGTCTAAATGGCGCTGTGTGAATTGTTCAGGTATATTTTTTACATGTGTCTAAGAGTGAATTACTTGTTTCTACGTTAACCGATTTTGATAACATTTTTTTACTTCAAAACTTGTACTTCTCGTATATGTATGTAATCTCTCGGTCCCATATATATATATATGTAAATTATTTGAACAAGTCTGATGAACATTTCAATTATGTGTAATTGCTAAATTTCATGATAATTGTTTACGTTTTCATAGCATAACCGTTTTACTTATTATTTCTGACATTTAGCATATAGAATAGACAAAGACAGGCTACATACTGTTAATCCCAGTCAATCATAGTCGTAGGCAGAAGTTAGTAAACAAATACACATAAATGGTCCTGCGCAATAAAAAATATCTACATATCGTAAAAAGATACAAAAGCTTTATTTATTATGGACTCTGCCCACCCAACCTGGAACCCAGGCGCGTCCCTGAATGCCATCGGTTAACTTAAAAAACCAAAGGTTATAATTACAAT